CTGCTTGGTTTGTGTTTTGTTTTTTTTGGTTACAGGACTACATTTTACTCATGAACTAAGGAGCCTTTTGAATTTTTTTGTAAGTACTATCACATTAATGAGTGATAGGTAACTGCTTTTCCATTTAATACTTGCTATTGTGTTGAACACTGACATTTAACCTTTTGTGATGTATGCTTTCTGTTGGTGTAAGTAAAATAATATGCTGATCCTTTAACTAAAGAAAGAAACATGGTTTTTAGTCTTGCTTCCTGAAGAACCAAACACATAATTTGGATTCATTTCATATTGGTGTAAACAGTTGTCCTTGGTCTCATGGACAGCCTGAATGGGGCTTCTGGAAAGGGATAGGAAGAGTGTTGCTGGAAGGAACCAGATGCTGTGCTGGAGAAATTAGTTTTCTTGGTCACCTTAAGACCTCCTGAAAAAAAACCCTTACTCCTAGCACACATTAATGTGCATTTACCCTTAAAAGAATAAAAAGGGAAGAGGGAAATGAAGGAAAGCAACATGGCAATTCAGTGCTAGCTGCTGAGGCTGCAGCAGTTCTGAATGGATCTGTTGCCTCCCTAGGTGAGTTGGCAGCTTTGACTGACAACATAAGCAGGGTGAAAATCCACAATAAACCTGTTACTTCATGATGTTAAAGGTCTTTTCCAAGCAGAGCAATTCTATGAGTCTATGATTCTATAGACATGAAAGGAGCTCATGCCATGTATTGGAGAAGGACTGGTTCCTTGTAGCCCTGCTGCCTGTGCAAGGCTTCCTCTTTTGATGAGGATAATGTATTGCCCTAGTATTTCTCGCTATCAGAAAGGTTGTACTGGGTTTGGGTGAGATAGAGTTAATTTTCTTTGTAGTAGCAGGTACAGTGGTGGGATGCTTTGGATTGGTGCTGAAAATTATGTTGATACCACACAGATGTTTTAGTTACTGCTGAGCAGGGCTTACACAGCCTGGGAACCTTGGCTGCTGCACACACCATCCCACCAGCAAGGAGACTGGGGGTGGGCAAGAGGTTTGGAGGGGACACAGTGGGGACACCTGATCCCAACTGCCCAAAGGGATATTCCACACTACATGATGTCATGCTCAGCAATAAAACGGGAGAAGGGGGCAAGTTTCCTGGGGCTGCTGTTGCTCAGGGACTGTTAGCTGCTTCTTAATACAACTAACAGGTGGCTAGTGGAGAGCAACTGGGCTTTTCTGTATCACTTGGCATCTTTTGGGTTTTGTTTTTTGTTGTTTGTTTGTTTGTTTTACTGAACTATCTTCATCTCAACCTTTCTTACTTTTACTCTTCCAGTTTTCTCCTCCATCCCACTGGGGTATAGCACAGGTGGAAGAATTAATTAGAAATATTTCTCCTAAGTGATAAAAAATAATAATGAAGGAAAAATTGGTTATGTTGATCTGAAAAAACAAAACAAAGTTGTATTGCCATCTTTAAGCTTAGTGTGTAAAAGTGGATAAAAATACTACCCCCTTCTTTCATTATGTGCTTACAAGTACCTCTAATTTTTCTCTGATGTGAATGTTTCTTAGCAGTCCAGTCCTCAGCAAAACAATGCTTTCTAAATGTTTTCTGATGCTCTGAATTGCTTGTGGTCTTGCAGCTCAGCATAGGTAAGGTTGATATAGGCATGTAGTGAGACAAGGGGTAATGGCTTTGAACTGGAAGAGGGGAGAATTGTATTAGAAATAAGGAAGAAATTCTTCACTATGAGGGTGGTAAGACACTGGAAAAGGTTATCCAGGGAAGTTGTGGAAGTTCCATCCCTGGAAATGTTCGAGGCCAGGTTGGATGGGGCACAGAGCAACCTGATCTAGTGGGAAGTGTCCCTGCCAATGCAGGGGAATTGGAAATAGATGATCTTTAAGGTCCCTTCCAACCCAAACCATTCTATGAGTCTACGATTGATTCTATGAGACGTATGTGCCTCAGAGCAGAGGTATCTGAACTAGCTCTGAACAAGCTGTTTATCCACTGGAAGGCAACACCACTGGAGCTCTGCACCCTTAGGCATCATGTTGTGCAATCTCTACCTTCCTCGCCTGAGTTTGGTCTTGAGGGAAGCCAGGTTGAAGCCCCTGCCTGGGGCTGGAAGAGTTGCTGCTGTAAATTTAATTATTTATTATTTATCCCCTGCACAGACAAACTGCCTCTGTTTTTTTCTGAGTAAAACTGAGGACAAGCAAAGTCCTCTCTCCACTGCCAGAGTGTGCAGCTGAAAAATAACGATGTAAAGGAGCAGAGGTGGGGGAGCGGAAGTGTCATTATTTACATCACTCATTCTGAAGTACCTAGAGCCCTCTAGGAGCAGAGAGGTCACAGTGGTCCTACAATGGTACCTTTAGCTCTGAGTTATCCTTGGGTTGTCTGTAAGGGCATGGGGAAGAGACACATCTTTCAACTCATTTAGTTTGAGGTTTAGAAGGAGGTAATGGTAACATTAATGCTGAAGATAGTTTTTAAGTGACACTGTTAAAAAGTTTGGGGCTTTGTTTTTGTTTGGTTGTCTTGGTGGTGGTGGTGTTTTTAAGTATTAAGAAGCAACTAACAATCTATGGAGAGCTTTTATCATCTAATACTCTGGAAAAATTGCACTTTGGGAGAGTACATATGCTGTGTCTCAGGAGATAGTGTAAGATCAGAGGAACTACTGGTGGAGACATTTCTCCATGAGACAAGTTACTTGCTCCAAAAAGGACACAGCAGTGGCAAGCAGACAGAGCATTTCATTCCTGAGGCTCCTGGTTCCTTGTATTTGGAAATGCAAGTAAAAATGGAAGGTCTCAATTGCTTTTTTGAGCAAGTCAGCATCTCTCCTTAAGTCCTGTTAAGTCTTGGCAGACTGGTTGCTGTAATATACTTAAGCACAACAGGCATTTGGCTGCTAGGAAAGCAACTACTGCCTAGGCCACCAGGGCAACCCGCCAGCTGGAAGCATCCCATGCGCCGCCCGTTGGCCCATGCGATGTAGCACGATACTACTTTGATCAGCTTTCATGTACACAGACTTGTTTGTACTAGAAAAGTGACTTATATGGTGAATACCACCTCTGGGAGTAAAGGATCTTTAGCTTATTTTCCCCTGAAAAACACAAGCAAGTAACTGCTAGTTGTTAGCCTTAGCAATAGCTTCATTTTCTTTAGTGTAAACCAATACCCCTGTGTCCGTTCCGTCCTTACTTTTAGGTGCTTTTATTCCAAAACCTCTACACCCTCAAGAATGACAAGCTTCGTCCAATGTGGCAGGCTTTTCTGGAAAGATGCATCTGTTACTTCATTAATTACCTTTCTTCTGGTGGTCAGAAAACCATTATCTTAATTGGTGGGAGACACTGTTAACTGAAGTAACAAATTTCTGCCCTTTATTTAAAACACTGGAAGTTTATTATAACTTAAAATAGCTTCTGCTCCATGTACAAGTTCAAGGCAACTTGCGACATTACCCACTACTTTGTAGTTTTTTGCTGGCTTGCCTTCTAGAACCACCCAGCATATCTCTTCCTCAATGTAGGTGAACTTCAGAAACTATTTTTAGGAAAGGAAGGGAACAATAATTAGAAAAAAAACAAACCCACATCCACAGGAGTTGTATATTTGTTGTACTGATATATTCTAGGCTTGTGTGGTTTTTACATTTATATAGTTTACATTTTGCTTGACCCATAAATAACACTTGCAAGTTTAACAGGGCCATAGTTTAGATAGTATTTACATAGCCCCACCATGCATACAGAGCTTTTAATACCTAGTAGACAGAATTAAGCTGCTTTGCACTAAACATTTTTCAATATTTTTCAACTTAAAACCCCTGACTAAAATAACAAGCAATATTTCATCTGTAACGCTGCTGTTAAACCCCTAACAAATCTAGTTTGATATTGTAACAAATTTCTTCAAATTCAGGGATATAAAAATATTCAGCTTTTAAAATTTTAACTGTACAATATGTACATTCGTATTTGCACTGTTAAATTATGAATACATTTAAGCCTATGAAATACTACATTATAAATATCAATGTTTTTTTTGATTTAGAATTGCAGCTAATACATTTTTAAACCTGGCTAATGCATTTGAAAGGATACAGTTCTGGAGCCTAATCCTTTAAGCCCTTATAAAAGTATTTCTTACGTAAGTAGATTCATTGACTTAAATGGGGTGACATGCCTGAGCAAAGGACTCCAGCAGTTGTACCTCTCTTGCTGCTGGGGGGTGGGGACACAGCATAAAAACCATCACCACTCACCAGCAGCTAAGTCCAACTGCAGCAGCTGAATTAGTGTCTTCCTTTAAACAGGCACCAAAAAAAACATCTTACAGAGGGATGGAATTAAAAAAAATAAATTTAAAAATGTGGAGGGAAGAACATGAAAGTTAAATGTATAAACCCTTTACCACTGCTTTAGGATGTATCAAGGCCTCCAGCATTTCAGTTCTGGCTTTTGCCTCCTTAAAGGTGGGGCTCTTTGGAAAAGGAGCAATAAAGACAAAAAATAATAATCCAGTTTTTATAGGGCAACTTGAAGGAAGAAAAGTGACCTTTACCAATGAAGAAAGGACACAGTATAGAGCCTTCTTTTTCTTGGCGGCAAGAGGTAAAAGTCAAAGCTCACCCTGTGTGTATGTAGCTACAGCACAGGGCTGATGATTTTATTTGTTGATCTTTGTTGAATTCCCTCTTAGATAATTCAACATAGGTGAATTGCAAGCATAAAATAAAATGTCTACAGAAGGTCTGTATCCAGAACTGCAGTATTTTGACAGCTGAAACATAGTATGTAAACCTAGCAGTATCTGAGCAGATCATCATTTGGCATGGTGACATTTGTGGATGTTACTTGTACAATGTAAACTCTGGCAGGGTTATCATTTACACTGGCAAAGCATTAAGAACCTTAGCAACTTGCCTAAGTACAATTATTAATATAAAAGGATGTGGTTCAAACTAGCTACAGAGTTGACTGGTCTTCCCAATTGTTAGATCAAATTAAGAAATTATGCAATTTTTTCCTTTGTGTCCCCTCTTCTTCTTTGACTTGGTTGTCCTTTGTCCAAACTGAGAACTAGATAAAGCAGTAGTTGGACCAGAAAGGTCATCTGTATAGTATGGATATCTCAGTGATCGTGGCTGTGGAATTGGCTGTCCTAGAAAATATCCTTCCTCTTCAGAATCAGATGATGAGGATGAAGTTGAACACCAGGAGTCATCTTCCTCACCATACAATCCAAAAAATTTATCAACCACCTGATTCCGCAGTGCATAATCAGACCTAGTGTGGGCGTATTGTCCATACAGCTCCGCGTTCTGAATGTATGCCTGAATCTCACGTGAGCTTCTGTTTTGAATAAGTTTTTCATGATCCTGAGGGGAGTAATAACGAAATCTCTCTCTGGGAGAACATCTTCTTTCTGCAGCCAAGTTAAGTGCATTATCTGAACGGGACTTCCTACTTCTTCTACGATGATGAGAAGGCCGATTTCCACGCTCTTCAAAATGGTAAACACGCCTACGAGTCCTTTCACTCATTGGAGGCTGACGTATTTCAACGTTCTCATAACTTCCATTATCAATAACATCATCTGAGAACTTCACTTGCTGTGGCCTAGACTGGGATTTAGATCTTCTCAGTACAGGCATATGCACTGGCTTTTCCTCTGGCAAGACCTTTTCCTGACACAATTCTGAGCTCAGACTCTTCAAGGACTCTGTGCTCCGGTGGAGCATTGAAGAATTCAGAGTTCCCATGTTGCTCATTTTTTCACAGTCCTCTACCTCTAGTTCTTGGAAAGTCTGCAAAGAATAGAGAGATGGCCGTGGCTTGCCTTCTCCATCCATTGAAGCCCCTATTGTGGGAGAAAAGAGGAAAAGGAAAATGAGAGTACTCAGAAGGAAAATCAGACAGGTAAGTATTATAATAAAATATTCAACATTTATTTTCAGTAAAGCAAACCTTGCTCATGTTTTTTGGAACTATTACCAAAAGGACTAGCTTTGTAGAAGAACACGCTTTGTTTTGACTTAAAATATTTAAGTATTAGCTGTGATTACCAAAGAATTAACTAACATTAGGACAGCAAAAGCAGAAGTAGTTTAATGATTTTAAAAAATTTAAACAGCTCTAACACACAGCTAAGTCTAAGGAAAAAAATAATTACTTAAAATTATTATTCTACAGTCTGTTTTTGCAATTTTTAAGGCTAAAGTATGTCATGTTTCCAGTATTGCTAAATTCAATATTCCAGCTGTTGCTACAGGAAAGCAATGCATACTGCCTCATGAAGAAGAATCCTTCCCCTCCAAAAATCATCAGCAGTAAGCTGGCCTGGTTTACTCCAGGTTTGTGTCTAGTGACCCTTCATTCCCACAACAGCAACATCATCTGCCCTGTTGACATTCCCAGGTACAACACCTCTAGTTCCTCCTCCCATGCCCCCTCAACCAAGCTCCCCTCATCAGTTCTTTCATTGCTGCTTGGGGAATGCAGCAAGTGGTCAGCCCTGAGCTACAGAAGCAGCTACAAGGATTCAGGTTACAGGAAGAAAATTATGGAGAAGAGCGTAGGACAACTTTTAAAATGGGTTTATCACGCCTAACTCCCAGGTCTGGGGTTTTTGTAGGGAATCAGGAAAGGAAGGTTAACACACAGAGAGAGACACTTGCATATTTGACTTATCCCTTTGGCTAATTTCAGTCACGTTTGACAAGAAGGTTCACAGAAGTTTCTCTTTAGTCAACAGAGAAAGATAATCTTATAAACCTCATTTCCTAAGGCGAAGAAGTTCACCATCTTTTCAGATTTTCTACATATTTTTACAAATAAATCAGGAAATTACCTGCATTGTTTTGCAGATTATCGTTAATATTATCCTAGTCTATAATGCAATTCTCATACTTAAGGTATGGGGAAAAAAAATCTTAATTTTCTTGAAGTGCTGTTTTTTATACAACAAATTATTAGTTCAAGACCATTCTTACTCTGTTTAACATGGATGTTTTTATAAGCAGGGGAAAGAGAATTCAAAAGGAAAGCAGAAGAATTTAAACAGCATTTAAGTAGCAGAAATGTATCTTGTGGAAGAGTATGTGGTTTGATAAAAGGTATCTCCTACTTTACAAGCATCTGTGGCTACTAAAGCTTTTTAGAAATTACAAATATGAAAAGTCTTAGTTCAAAATACTCCCAACATGTAAGCTTTGACCTCTCCATCAAAGCCAGTAATTTCTTCCCCCATTACCTGTTATGTTAGACAAAGCCAAAGAATCCATTGAGTCTCGAACACTTTGTTCTTGCTGTTTCAGGTCAGACAAACATTCAAGTGAACCTCCATACCATGGTGTTTGGTCATGCTTGTATCCTGATGCCCCATGTTCCATGTCTAACTCCTGGATTTTCCTGCTGCTGGCAGGGCCTGGGTGGCTGCCATATGCAGAGTCACCCAAGCCATCTTGTGACTGGGCCCAGTACATGTCTGATTGATACTTCTTACTTGCAAGGCTTGGATTATTTTTTTTCAAGTCCAACTTATTCTTCACCATGCTATCAGAAATCCAGTGTTCACTTGATCTAATGTCTACTTCAGTGGGCTGCTGGAATAGGCTTTTATCACCAAACTTCAGAAGAAGTTGAGTCATGTAGTCTTCATGTTCAGCCCATTCTTCAGGGTCTTCAGGCATTTCTTGCTCTACTCTTCCCTTCCAGAAGTCTTCATTAACAAAGCTTGTCTCTTCCCTTGAAAGGCTTAAATCATCCAGCTTACGAGAAAGGGTATCATCAGCATTGCCTGAAAGGCCAGGAAATTTGTAATTGAGGGCTGGCGACAGGAGGAGAGACTGGCGGCACTGGTCGGCTGACCGGCTGCTTTTTCCCATGCGGACGCTCCTCCTGGAATCTCTGGATCGAGCAGACTGAAACGCAGAATCAGAAGAGTCGGAGGCATGAACATCCTCTCCCAGGCTGCATGTTTTTGAACAGTAAATCTGCCCTTGCTTTGGAAGGAAAGGGCAGCCAAGCAGAGAGGTCTTGCACTGAGCACAAGAAAAGCAAGTCTCTGTGGCGTGCCAGTGCTGTCCATCATAGGTCATCTGGGCATGGTCAACACCTAGAATGGGAAAAAAAACAATGCTTTGGGTTTCTCTAAAAAAGGACATGCAGAATCCACTCATTCTGGAATCTGATGTTATTTCATAACTTGGCTTTCCCTTAATTTCTAAGTTTAATGCTTAAAAAGGACACTTACCAATGTGTTCCCCACAGGTCTCACAGTATTCCGCGTAAAGAGATTCAAAACAGGTACAGCAGAATGGTCGCCCATCCTTCATGATGTATCTCTGTCCACCCAGGATGGTTTCACACTCGAGGCAACAGAAGTGCTTCATGTGCCAGTGTCGACCCTCAGCTTCTGTACACTCATCAGCAAAAATGATCTTTTCAGAGATAAAAAGTAAACTTTTTAGTTAAGGGGTCAAAACCTCACCTTGGGAGCTAAAGTATGCAAAATATCCTAACTGTGCAGTTCACACTCTACATTTATTTTTATTTAGCTGTCTTTGGAACACAAGGATAGAAACATCAATCTCCAATCGCAATTGTAGCATTCTGATCTCTTCCAAAGCAAAATGAACCAAGAAAAGAAAAGAAAACCCATACTTTTTAAAGCAAAAAAAAAAAAAAAGTAAACAAGAACTCAGCCATTAAAGAAGGTGCTATTTTGGAATACTTGTACAGACCCATTTTCTAATGCAATCTGCAAGATTCAATTCTAAATGCAAACAGGTATGTTCCTTCTAAATACCATCATGTTGCTTGTAATATTGTCAGTTTGACAAGAAATTAATGTTTGGAGTCCTTAAAAGAAAGCGTCTGAAGGAATTGCCCAAGTGATGCAGTTTGTTAACTGAATAGTAACAGGAGTGTAAGTTGGTCATAAAACATGAATTATTTACCTCATCACAGGCTGAACATCTGGGTTTAAGAAGTTCAGCGTGGTGTCTGCCACAGTGAATTTTTCCATCTTGGTAGAAGTAGATAAGGTCAACGAGCAGCTCGTTACAGGTGAAGCACACAAAACATGAGGGATGCCAGCACACGCCAGGCCCAGCTCTTGAGGCAAAAACTGCAACTTCACCACCATTTACTTTTGTACCACACTAGGAACAAAACCAGAAAGTGAACACACTTCCCATCCCAAACTACTAACTCCTGGCACTTAAACTAAGTCAAAACACCAAACTCAACATGCAGGTTTTAATTCCAGAATTCTGACAGGAGGGAAAAAAATACCAATTTTGACCTAGACAAACTCTGTGCATCAACAAACCTTTTGTGAATAGAAGATTATTTTATACATACTAACATTTTTAAGCATACACCTATTTTTCATTCGTCATTACTTTAGTATGAGTCAGCAACCATTTTATTTTGAGCAGGAAATAGATCAAAGATTCAGTTCATTCCCAGTATCAAAGGTTGCATTTTGCATAAGCAAGCACTTCCTTCTTTCTGTTTACATGATGCTTTCATTTAATTTTGTGTGTGCATCTTCAGCCATAGAGAAAAGCTTCCAAGGAATATCAGGATGCTGTAGTTTCACATCATTCAGCCCCTTAGCTGGCTTGTGGCACCAGCAGTATCATTACCTGCTCACACACCGCGTGCATCACCGCTCTGGAGAGCAGCTTGATGGTGCCTCGGCCGAGGGCCTCCTTTTTGCGCTGGGAGCTGAACATCTGCAGCTCCTTCTTTTCTTCCTCACTTAAAGACTGGCAGTATCTCACCTTCCAGGAAAAACACAGGAGAACTTATTTTAGATACCGAGCCTTTTAAAAGCAACAGCTGAATAAGTGCGTGCGTCTATGCAAGAAATTCATCAGGCATGCTGGAGATCATCATGCAACTTTTCCAACTTGTCTTCTCCACCATCTTAATATTTAGCTAACATGGCACAAAACAAAAGTAGAACAGAGAGGAATTTTGTATTATAGGGAAAAAAACCCCACCGTACTAAACTAAGGAGCTGTCTAGACAAGAAATAAGACTTTAAAAAGCCAAACCAAAACCTGCTGCTCTCCTAAAAGAATGAAATGAACCTAAATCAGCCATAACATTGTCCTTTAGATTTATGGTTAAGTGCCCACATCTTCCAAAGCAAAATGAACCAGAAAAGAAAAGAAAACCCCATACTTTTTAAAGCAAAAAAAAAAAAAAAAGTAAACAAGAACTCAGCCATTAAAGAAGGTGCTATTTTGGAATACTTGTACAGACCCATTTTCTAATGCAATCTGCAAGATTCAATTCTAAATGCAAACAGGTATGTTCCTTCTAAATACCATCATGTTGCTTGTAATATTGTCAGTTTGACAAGAAATTAATGTTTGGAGTCCTTAAAAGAAAGCGTCTGAAGGAATTGCCCAAGTGATGCAGTTTGTTAACTGAATAGTAACAGGAGTGTAAGTTGGTCATAAAACATGAATTATTTACCTCATCACAGGCTGAACATCTGGGTTTAAGAAGTTCAGCGTGGTGTCTGCCACAGTGAATTTTTCCATCTTGGTAGAAGTAGATAAGGTCAACGAGCAGCTCGTTACAGGTGAAGCACACAAAACATGAGGGATGCCAGCACACGCCAGGCCCAGCTCTTGAGGCAAAAACTGCAACTTCACCACCATTTACTTTTGTACCACACTAGGAACAAAACCAGAAAGTGAACACACTTCCCATCCCAAACTACTAACTCCTGGCACTTAAACTAAGTCAAAACACCAAACTCAACATGCAGGTTTTAATTCCAGAATTCTGACAGGAGGGAAAAAAATACCAATTTTGACCTAGACAAACTCTGTGCATCAACAAACCTTTTGTGAATAGAAGATTATTTTATACATACTAACATTTTTAAGCATACACCTATTTTTCATTCGTCATTACTTTAGTATGAGTCAGCAACCATTTTATTTTGAGCAGGAAATAGATCAAAGATTCAGTTCATTCCCAGTATCAAAGGTTGCATTTTGCATAAGCAAGCACTTCCTTCTTTCTGTTTACATGATGCTTTCATTTAATTTTGTGTGTGCATCTTCAGCCATAGAGAAAAGCTTCCAAGGAATATCAGGATGCTGTAGTTTCACATCATTCAGCCCCTTAGCTGGCTTGTGGCACCAGCAGTATCATTACCTGCTCACACACCGCGTGCATCACCGCTCTGGAGAGCAGCTTGATGGTGCCTCGGCCGAGGGCCTCCTTTTTGCGCTGGGAGCTGAACATCTGCAGCTCCTTCTTTTCTTCCTCACTTAAAGACTGGCAGTATCTCACCTTCCAGGAAAAACACAGGAGAACTTATTTTAGATACCGAGCCTTTTAAAAGCAACAGCTGAATAAGTGCGTGCGTCTATGCAAGAAATTCATCAGGCATGCTGGAAATCATCATGCAACTTTTCCAACTTGTCTTCTCCACCATCTTAATATTTAGCTAACATGGCACAAAACAAAAGTAGAACAGAGAGGAATTTTGTATTATAGGGAAAAAAACCCCACCGTACTAAACTAAGGAGCTGTCTAGACAAGAAATAAGACTTTAAAAAGCCAAACCAAAACCTGCTGCTCTCCTAAAAGAATGAAATGAACCTAAATCAGCCATAACATTGTCCTTTAGATTTATGGTTAAGTGCCCACAACTCACTCTGTATTGCAGTATACACAAGATCTTAAGTATTGACACCCCCGCCCCCTCTCCTTACAAAGGGCTTGTTTGTTATTTTCACTTCTACTCCAAATTACACTGCATTTCTGAGATGCAAACCTTTTACTATCACAAAGCATCCTTTTTGTATGCTACAATGCAATTCCAGGAATTTGTAGGTTCCTGGTAATTGGTGGGTGGCTGCAAACACTATAAAACCAACTTGTGTTAAGTTTATTGCAGTGACACCAGCCCCTCTAACAAGCAAAGGCAGTGTCCTTCCAGACAGCTCTTATCTGCACACAAGGCAACCGGACAGCAGAACAATGGACTCAGTGTACACACCGTGCTGCTTTGTAGGTCAGATGCCCCTGCAGGCCACGGGTTAAGCTTGTAATAAATACACAGGTAGGTAATTCTCCATGAAAAAGCCTCCAGGAAGCCCTAAGCCCCGACGGCGCATCCTAAATTTTGGATTTACCTCATTATCGTGGGGTGGCAGCTGATAGAGAAGTTGTTTAATTCGGTGTTTCTCTCCTGGGCTGTTAACGTAAGGGACCTTCTCCTCAGGCAAGCAGGCGAAATACAGCTGGACCTGACCAGGAAGAACACAGAGCTCAGACTCAGGGACACCCACCACCTGAGCACTGTGAGTGTCCTTCAGCTCCTGTTTCCCTCCCCTCAGCTCTGCTCTACCAAGGAAGACGGTTACGCTACATTAGACCCGTGACAGGGTTTGTGCTGAAAATGCGAGACCCAGATGAACCAGCTCAGCAAACTTTGAATTGTCTCTGATAAAACTAGCACCCAGCTGCCGAATTGCTTTTCTGGAATGCAATTTGCAGTGACAATTAGGGGGGTATCATAAATTATGCACATTTAATGTTCTCATTATTCCCACCCCCTTCAGGGCTGGTCAACAACCCCGTAGAAATTCCAAGTTTCCCTCTGCAATTTACCACACAAGGCATGAAGCTTTCCAGAAAACAGCCACTATATAAACAAATTTAATTTGCTCTCTGCATTTTACACATTGTTGAGACAAAAGCTGTTTTGTAGTCTCCTGCTGATCAGGTTCACCCAAAGCATCAGCTTTCATTGCTTCCATGTGGGCTTTGGTAAGGAGGTAGAAACATCCTTCCCTTGGGAGGAGGCTGGATCCAGCCACATTTCAGTCAGATGCAAATTAACTACAAAATTTTCAAAGGCTGCATGTTTTTGATAAAGAAACCAGTATTAGGTGTACACACCTATCAATTTTTTTTTTCTTTCTGTTCAGAAGAAAATTATGACAGGAAAGCTGTAATGAACACTATGCCAAAGATAATGGCAAAAAACATTTTTGTGGAACAGCTACAGTTTTATTGTTTTTTTCCAATGCAGTTTCCAGCTTGTCACGAGGCCTGAGGCTGTAAATAAGAGCCGACTGTTGGCAAAAATATTACTTGCCATCCAGATTTAAATAATGCTCAGGTCAACAGCTTATTACTGTGTGAGACAGATGAAAAAGAAGCACTTATCACTTGATTCAGGAAGCAATTAAAATTGTGTGGGGAGAGGTGGTATGAAACATGACTTGGTCTTCATTTAACCAAAACTGAAATATCAGAAGTCTATTCTACGTCCACTTACTACTAACTGTATTTTAAGAAGCTCCAGGAAAAGATAACAGCATGCAGTGCGAAGTGAAGTTTTGAAGACACTTTATACCCTTTTCTCAAGTTTATTGCACTGTTTTCAAAAGAAGTAATCATTAGGGGAAAAAAAAAAACACAAAACAACAAAAACACCACAAAACTGAGCTAGCTGGATGATGAGGATATTTTATGACATTTAATTGTTCTGGCAAAATGTTAGCTGGCTGTTTCCCTCTAATGTCCAATTCATCAGGATTCCTATTGATGCTTAAGTAAGTGATAGAGTTCCCCTAAAAATAATTTATTACTT